TTAAAAAGGGAGGAGGAATTCTGACAGGTTAAAATATGAGTAACTTTCAGAACATTGCATGAAGTGAAATAAGCCAATGACAGAAGGAAAAAAATACTGTAGAATTTCACTTGTATAAGGCACCCAGTGTAATCAAATCCATAGACAGGAAGTAGAAGGACATTTGCAAGGGGCTGGAGGGAGGAAGTGTCAAAGAGCAGTTTCCAATGGACAGTTTCAAATTTTCAGGAAAGAGAGTTCTGCCCATCCCTGCCTTGTCCTCTTTATATTGTGCTTGCCACAAGTAGTATATCTAAAGTAAAACTCCCCAGACAATATTATTTATAATTATTGCAAAACATATCTTAATGTATTTAAGAATAGACACCAGTTAGTTGTATTTACAATATCTGCCATTTCTGAAGCTCTTCCTTCATACTTGAAGTTCCATTTTTTTCTAGCACATTCTCCTTTGGTCTGAAGAAAGGTGTTCAGCATTTCACATAGCGTGTCTCTGCTGGTTTTTGTTCACTTGAAAATGCCTTTAGGGGCATCTCCTTTTAAGAACCTTTTCAGTGGACATCAATTGTACAAGAGAGTGGATTCCATTGTGACATTTTCTTTTCTCTTTCTTCTCTTCTAATTCATTGCTAGGGATTGAACCCAGAGCCTTTGCACTAAGCTACATTCCCAGCCCTCTTTTTTGTCACTTTATTTTGACAGGGTCTTCCTAAGTTGCTCAGGCTGATCTTGAGTTTGCTGTCCTTCTGCTTTGGTGTCCCCGAGGGCTGCATCATGACATTTTCAAGCATTCCTATAACGTATTTTGATTGTGTCCCCCCCATGCTACCCTTCCTTACTCCCTCCCCCAGTTTTCTTCACCTTCCCTTTAGTCCTTCTTCTGGTCTCGTGTTGTCTTTTTTTCAGTCCCTAGATTCCATACACGACAGAGAACATTATACTGTCTTTCTGAGTTTGGGTTAGCTCACTTGACATGAAGGTTTTTTCAGTTTTATCCATTTTCCCACAGATGACATGAGAATTGTTACTCTTTATGGCTGCATAGACTCCATTGTGCGTGTGTGCCACCTCTTTGTCCACCCCCCTGCCACTGACAGGCACCTGACTTACTACAGCTAGAAACAAAGGAGCTGAATGAGTCACTCCCTTTCTCTGTAAACACCTCTTTAATGTTTACCCATGCTTCTGGTTTTTGTTTTTTTTTAAAGAAGTAAAAAATAAAATAATAACAACCTAAGAGGTGGCCATGCCCTAAGAAGCAGAGCACTGGCACCAGCAAGAAATTCAGTAGGAAGCACCCGAAGGTAGAAGTGTTTGGCATTTAAAGTCTAAAAGCTTGGGCTACCATGGCCCTTCTTGCCTTTTTCCCTGTCCCGCATTCCTGCTGCTACCTTCTATGGGATCTGCAGTGAACATAGCTGCCTGCTCCTCACCAGGACATGTGGCTCCACAGTGCTTTCCTTGCTGTGCACGAGAATCTCAGCCGTTTTTGGCCCACTCAGCTGTAACAAGCTGATTCCAGAAGTTGGCTGTTATGAGCAGTGCTGTGATAAACCCGGGTGTGCAGGACCCTTTGTCATGCGCTGACTGTCACTTTTCTTGGGATATGCAGAAGCCCTGCAGCAGGAGCGTGTGGGAGTTCTGGTTTTGGTGTTTTAAGGAGTCTGCATACTCTTTTCCACAGTGACTGTATTAATTTATATTCCCACAATAATGTGGAAGTGTCTCCCCATCTCATTCTTGTTTTGAAATCTTTTTTAAAAAATGTATCTAGTGGAAGCAGACAACACGTCGGACAGTTACTCAGCGAGCCAGACGACGGCGCAGGACCCTCGGACTTCATTTCCCATCGGCCGCGCGGGGAGTGCGGGAAGCCCGCCCCGCCCCTCATTGTGCGGCTCGTACTAAACGGAAGGGGCCGGGAGAGGCCGCGTTCAGTCGGGTCCCGGCAGCAGCTGCGGCGCCTCTTGTCTTCTTCATCTCTTTTTGCAGTCTCTCTTTCGCTTCCGGAAACATGGCCTCTGGTGTGGCTGTCTCTGATGGTGTCATCAAGGTATTCAATGACATGAAGGTGTGCAAGTCCTCAACACCAGAGGAAGTGAAGAAGTGCAAGAAGGCGGTGCTTTTTTGCCTGAGTGAGGATGAGAAGAACATCATCCTGGAGGAGGGCAAGGAGATTCTGGTGGGGGATGTGGGCCAGACTGTGGACGACCCCTATGCTACCTTTGTCAAGATGCTGCCAGACAAGGACTGTCGCTATGCCCTCTATGATGCAACCTATGAGACCAAGGAGAGCAAGAAGGAAGATCTGGTGTTTATCTTTTGGGCCCCTGAGTGTGCACCCCTTAAGAGCAAAATGATCTATGCCAGTTCCAAGGATGCCATCAAAAAGAAGCTGACAGGGATCAAGCACGAATTACAGGCAAATTACTACGAAGAGGTCAAGGACCGCTGCACACTGGCAGAGAAGCTGGGCGGCAGTGCCGTCATCTCTCTGGAGGGCAAGCCTTTGTGAGCCCCTCCAGTCCCTGCCTGGAGCATCTGGCAGCCCTGGACCTGCCCTCAAGGGGTTGTAGGCTGCCCCCTTTCTGCCAGACCGAAGGGGCTGGGGGGGATCCCAGCAGGGGGAGGGCAATCCTTTCACCCCAGTTGCCAAACAGCCCCCCTACCCCCTGGACCTTCCTCCTGCCTCCATCCCTGACGGTTCCGGCCTGCCCAAACTGCTTTTGATCTTCTGATTCCTATTGGGTTGAAGCAGACCAAGTTCCCCTCAGGCAGCCAGCTTTGGGGGGGGGGGCTGTTTTTTTTTTTTGTTTTTTTTTTAACGACATCCACACTCCCCACCTATTCCTTCCCGCTCCCATGCTGCCAACTTCTAACCGAAATAGTGACTCTGTGCTTGTCTATTTAGTTCTGTGTATAAATGGAATGTTGTGGAAAAAAAAATGTATCTAGTACAGGGCCTACAGTGCCTCACTACACAGATCAGACTTGTAATGAGGCAAGTTGTGCTGTTTGCAGCCTCCCAAGCTCTGGATCACAGGTGCGCGCCACCATGCCCAGTCTTCCTCACCCCATTTTCATCAGCATTTGTTTTTTGTTTTCTTGGTAATTGCCATTCTGATTGGCATCAGATGGAGGTTTGTTTTTCTTTTTTTCAGGATCTACAGAGTCTCACTACAAGGATAGTGATCCTCCTGTTTTCAGCCTCCAAAGCACTGGGATTATAGGCACGCATCACCACACACAGTTTCAGTCACTATCCCAGTGTGCCCCAGAGGTGGGGCCAGCACGGCATGTGGTGCAGGGGATCAAACCCCAGTCCTTGCACTTGCCTAAGCAGGCACTTTAGTCCACTGAGCTATCTGTTTGGCCCCAGATGGAATTTTGATGTAGTCTGGATTTACATTTTCCTGATAGCTAAAGATGCTCAGCACTTTCTCATATAATTATTGTCCATTATCGGCCACTGGTATATCTGTTTTTTTCTTTTGAAAGCAGGGTCTCACTGTGCAGTTCAGGATGGCCTTGAACTCACATTGTAGCCCAGGCTGGCCTCAGATTCACAGTGATCCTCCTGCCACAGCCTACCAGTGCTAAGATTACAGGTGTATGCCAACACACCTGGCCATACAACTTTGTGTTAATAGTTCTTTTAATTACTCTATACTTTAAAATGTACCTCACAGTTTCCTTCACCAATTCACTTCTGTGATCTCCTTGAATCAACTGATCCCAAGCATTCAACCAATATTGCTTGAGCACCCACCGTGTGATTTTCTCAGGAGCTCCAGTCAAAGGAAGTGGGCAAAGAAGGAATGGAATTTAACCCTGGACATGTGCAAGTGACTTGGGTTTTGCAGAGAAGCCACGGCTGCTTTGCCGCTGTCCCTGAGACTAAATCAAGCCTTCTCCAGAGTGTTGATGGAGAGAAATATGAAGGTTACAGTCCTGCGGGAGAGCTCCCATGAGGGGAGCCTGTGGGGATGCCCCACGAGGAATGGGCACACACTCTTTTTTTTTGTTTTTTTGTTCCTCGAATGGCTTCAGGGCACTTTTGGCCAGCGGGAGAGTTGTGAGGTTCGAACTCCAGCAACCTGAGGCTGAGAGATTTGTGGAAGCAGCCACTTAAAGGCCTGAGCTAGGGCCATGCCCCCCACACACTCTTAAAGAAGCGAACATTTGGTACCTCAATTGATACTATGCACAGAGGAGAGAATAGAAAACAAAACAGACAAAATTCTTGTCTTTGTGGAGTTTACTTGGTATTATCCCTACTTAAGAATATTTCCGTATTCCCATTGGGAAGATCCAACCTCCTTAATCTCAGTCTCAAATCTCAGCCAACTGAGGTTAGTTTTGCTTCAAAGCATGTATTTGAAAGTTAATTTCTTCCCCCACCATCACATGATTGCCTATTATATTTCTAGTGTTATCTGCACAACAACTGAGGGAGCTAGAAGTCATAGCATAATGGTCTCTGTTACAGATGAGGAAGTGGAACCAAAGAAGATAAATAGTTTTTCTTGAAACCAGGTGATTTTCTAGAATAAAACCCAGTTTACCCTCTCACCCCATATCAACCCCATGCTAATTGTCCTGTGTGTTGTATTGTTTGCCCTCTGTAATGAGTTGCATGTCTTTTTTCTTTCTCATCTTATGTCCATCCTCCTAACTCAATTTATGTTTTTGATAAATTTGTAGATGTCCACAGAAGCTTTATCCAAAGGCTGAAGACTGTGTGATCTCAGCCTTTGAATGACCAGTGCAAAATGCAGCCAGGTGTGGTGGTTTATAGAATCTGTACTGAACTGGATGGAAAACACTCTGCACCAAGGAGCTGGAAGGCCACTTTTATTATGCTGGTAGCTGATGAGAACCAGGTCCAAATCATCAGCCTTGGCCTAGAGTAAAATAGCAACTTATATGCATTTTGTAAGCAGGAAGTACAAAACCAATAATGGGTTATTTTATATTTGGTTACATATATTTGGTCACTTGTTGTCAGGCAGGTGTAGTTACAGGGGCCATTCATCATGATGCAGGAAGGTCTGGGGGGAAATTAGGGACCGAACAAGCTGGTAAGATTGTGTCCTTGACAGGGCTAGCCTGTCCCCCATAGATAGTCCTTAAACAGGGTGGTAAAACAGGATATGTTTGTAGGCTATTGTGCAGCTGGTCAGAGAGAGCTGAGTTAAATTTTCTCTGAGTTGCAGCTGGGTAGTAAGTTAAGGCTGGCTGAGTCTGGTCCAATTATGAAGGTATTTTTAAAAATTTTGTATTATAGTGATGCACACCTATAATCCTAGCACTAAGGAGGCCAAGACAGGAAGATTGCTGCACGAGTTTAATGCAAGCGAGTGCAAAAAGCAAGGGAGACAGAATAAGCATGTGTCCCTCTCAAAAAAAAAAAAAAAAAAAAAACAAGTAGGAAACCCTTTAGAAACTCAGAGACAATCCCTTCAGAACAACTGGAAGACATTTTTTTTCTTTTAAAAACAAGGGGAAATTTAATGAAATAGGAACTTTGTTTTACGAAATAGTAGAGATGGGATAACAATAATGCATGGGTGGCTGTTGGAGTGACAACCTGATCAGAGTGGTGCTAACTAAATATGCTGCTACTTGCAAACTAAGAAACTGCACTGAAGATAGCAATGTGTAATCCTAGGTCCATGCTTGGAATGCCTGTCATTCTGGTCTTCTAAGTGTGTACTGCTTCTAATGTCATATCAATTACTGGTATATCGTCTCTCAAGTAAATGTTTGGTTTTTTTTTTAAAGGTAATAAATGAAAAAAAGAGACCAGAAAAAAAAAGTCATAGGACTGTCCTGCTACAATGCTGTATATGGTTAGATTTCTAAATTTCTGTGTAAAAATATGTAATTGTTTATTCCTATTTTTAAAAATATTTTTCTAATTTTTTTCTTCAAGTCTGTAGGGATTTAAAGTTTAACATATCAATACTTGATGGAAAATACCTGTTCCATGTTATGTCTAAGATGTTTGATATTCAGACAGATAGTGAGGTTAAGCTCAACTGCCTATGTTTTTTTTCCCATAATTTTACTGAGAAACAAATAGCAATGAGACAGTTTCAAACCAAATTGGTAGGACAGTTTCAATAATTAACACATTGTATACATTCTTCCTAGTGGTTAATTGCTTTACAAGATGAGGACATGATATCCTATTTACAAACACCATTAGAACAAATCACTCTATTTATTAAGAGAATGTAACTATATATCTATCCAAACCACTTTGAATACACAGATACAAAATGGACATTCATCTGTATCCCCTTTTTTTGTTAAGTTCTGTTATTTGAATATTATAGGTGTGTAAACTCAGCAAAGTATTCTAAAAGAGTCCAGTAACCCTTAATAGTATTGGGTCTTCTGCTTGACTGGCAATGTCAGAAATTGCTGACCTGAGTCCCCTACAGCTCAACATAACAGCATGGCTTTACTTCTTATACTGAACTGCCTATGTATAGGGTAATAACATCATTAAGCCTCTCTTCTGGAGGGTTAACAAATTACATTTGCAGATCAAAAATTAGAGAAAAAGAAGGGCTGCAAGGACAGCCAACATTTTGGCCCTAACCTTTCAAGGTCAGTGAGGACTCAGGAATAGTAGAAACTGTACTGTAACATCCTGCAACTCTGGTGTCTCAAATTTTCAGATCAAGGAGATTATGGGGCCAAGAGGAAAGTGATCAATGATGTAGAGTGTGTCTAAGGAGAGTCACATGGAGAGAAAACATTCCCTCAGGCTTTCTCAGAGAGCAAACTGGTCAAGTAATGGCCATAACTCATCCACAAGGCTGACATTGATAAAGGTTCTACAATCTGAGGTACAGGATCTCAGGTTAAATCCTGAGGGGATTTGACTGACCTTGTCACATACAAAAGTTACATTTCTTGTTATATAGGTTTGGCTTAATCTTGGTCTTAACCATCCAGCAGAAAAGTATAAAATTGAGGTACAAAAAGTAAAGCCATATTAATATGCTGAGCTGTAAAAGACTCAAGTCAACAACTTCTGACATTGCCAGTCTTTTGGATAACCCACTACTATTATGAACTACTGGACTATATTGGCATACTCTGCTGAATTCATGCACCCACAATATATAAATGACAATGGAATACACATCTCTGACAAAAGTAAACAACAAAGAGGATATAAATGAAGGACCATTTTGTAGTGGAAAAATATATTTCTGTATATACAAAATACACAGCTACTTTCTCTTAGTTCAATGAGAAGAAGGTTTTGAATTAATAATGTTTATTTCTGAATTTTTTTAGTATTTATGCATGTATTTTATTTATTTTTTTCCCATAATTTTATTGATAAACAAATAGCAATGAGACAGTTTCAAATCAAATTGGTAGGACAGTTTCAATAATTAAC